TCCACACACATTCACGATAATGTTTTGATTTGTCATGTTTATGTTCCTGTGTTTAGTTATACTGAATGAATCAGTGTACTGTAGTAGATATGCAGTCAGCAGCAGTTGGTTTAGGTTTTTTTTTTTTGGCATCTCCATTGTGGTCCTGTTCGGTATCGCAACTTGGCTTCTCTAAAATGTAAAAAAGCTCTTTGCTGTTGCCCTGTACACATACTATAAAATTCTGATATTTTTTCTTTCATTTGTGCTTATATGGGCTCATTATATCATTTTGTTCTTTGGTGTCCTTTTGGAGTTTCTAAGTATCCTTTTTTGGAAAGACATCTAAATTTATCTTGAAAAAAGCTTGCAGAAAATAGATTTTTAAGAATCACCCTTCAATCTTCTGGTTTACTTTACTGGATATAGCAAATTATGACAAAATAAACATTTGAAACAAGATAAATAGTCTATGCTTAATTTCATGAAGTGTGCGATTAATCGCGATTAATCACAGAAAAAGGGTGTGATTAATTAGATTAAAAAGTTTAATCGATTGACAGCCCTAATATATATTATATATATATATATATATAATTATGTGTGTTTTTGCCATCTGTCTTTACAATAGACACTACTTGGTTTGGTATTTAATTAATGTAATGGCAATCATCCTTTTAAAGTCTCAAGTGTCCAACTACTTCTTGGGATCACTACAGTCAGTTGTGCATCTGATCTGAGGGATCTCCACATCTCAGTCAGCATCTACAGGACTGCGTGATACACAGCAGCTCTGTCAAAAGAGATGGCCTCTTCAGACCTTATCGCATACAGACAGGGAGCAAGAATACTCTATTACCAGAGTGCCAGTCCGGGAACACTTCATTCCTCCAGCTGTCATTTTCTAAGCAATCTTCCGCACCCGCCGGATCTGAATGCTGATAAGGCCGGATTGTACTAGTCTCATTCTCGCTCTCAATTGCAATCTCCGGCGAAACCAAGCTGATCAATAATTAAACATCATGATCTTCCACATGTTATGAGACATTACGATGTGGATCAATAAAGAGCGGATGGACCAGATGAGGGAAGGAGTGAGATACAGAGAGCAGAGACGGGGGAATATGAAGCAGGCGTGTGCTAATACATGTTAAGGAGCATTAAAAGGCTGTTTCCTGCTTCCGAGTGCCATAAGGACATTAAGAGGTAGAGCGTCCCTTTGAGGATGACCTCTGGTGGGGTTACATTTGAGTGATGGGAGCACATCGTCATTGCCATCTGTTTTTCCTCAAGTCAGACCTTAGATAAAAGGACTGGGATTTACTGGCACACATTGGCTCTTGTGTTGTTTGATGCCACATCGATAAATATGTTAAAGGGGTCATATGATGCTTTTTTTAAAGATCATTATTTTGTGTATTTGGTGTAACAGAATATGTTGACATGCTTTAATGTTCAAAAAACACATTATTTTTCAAATACTGTACATTATTGTAGGTCCTCTATGCCCAGCCTCTCTCAAATGCTTTGTTTCCTACAAAGTCCCTCCTTCCGACAAGCACAGTCTGCTCTGATTGGCCAGCTGACCCAGTGCATTGTGATTGGC